GCAGGGAGCGGCGCAGGAAGAGGGAGAGGCCGGGGGCGCAGTGCAGGAAGCGGCTCAGGAAGAGGGAGAGGCCGGGGGCGCAGTGCAGGGAGCGGCACAGGAAGCGGGACAGGCCGAGGGCGCAGCGGAGGAAGAGGGACCGATGAATAACTGAACAGCAGGAGAGAGAGGAAAGCACAAGGAAGGCCCCGCACCAGCTCTCCGTCCTGTCCCCACGCTGGGTCCCAGGGCAGAGACCTGCCTGCTCTGTGGCTGCAGCACCTGGCACGCGAATGACACAATCCTTCCAAAGGATTGTCCTGAGCTGGCCAGGCCGGGCTCCTTGGCCGGCTCTGTCTCCCCCAAAGCTCTCCACGCGCAGGGTGCAGGCTGCCCCCAGCACTCAAGCAGAGCCCCCAGGGAATGGGGGGTGTCTCCGCGCTGCTGTGACCTTACCGAGTACCACGGGTGGGGTGCTGTTGGAGGGGGCTGCCTCTGGCATGGTGCTGGGAGGGAAGAGCACATTGAAGAGCCAGAAGTGGGCCGTGGGCTGCGGGAGCAGCAGCAGCGCCAGCGCGAGCAGCGGAGCCCTGAAGCCTGCGCGCCCCATGGCAGGTCCGGCTGGGATCCCTCTGCACCTCGGAGCAAACAGCCTTTTCTTTTATCAGCGCACCGGGTCGGGCCAGGAGGCATGGGGGGGAGGGGAGAGCCAGAGGGGACGGGAGGGGGAGGGAGAGCGGAGGGCAGAGTGACAGCGCTGCACACACCGTCCCCAGTCTCCCTCTGCAGCCAAGGGCTCTCGGCTCGCCTGGAAACCAGCCCTCAGCCTCCCAACGGCAGAGATACCCAGAGTGGGCGCCCGCGTCTCCCTGAGCTGACCCCCACTGAGGGCTGGGGACAGCGCCCCTCCCCTGACAGCCCTGGCCAGCCCCACCACAGGCCTCCCGCGCGGGGTCACGCCCATGGGAACACAGCGACTGCAGGCTGGTGCTACCGAGCGTTACCCCACGGGGCAGGGCGCTGGGGCAGCAGGGATCCAGCCCTGCACAGTGCTGGTGTCTCTGGGCCACGGGTCACGCCCCAGGGCCCCCGCCTGTGGCCTTTGCACTAAATTGCCGCACAGCCCAGGCTCTCGGGAGCTCAGCAGGGGCTGTTCTGCAACACAGCAGCCAGACCACGCTGCTACTGCCCACGGGGGGCAGGCCCCACGGCTGGGGGGAGTCTGCCCACAGCCAGCAGCGCTGCTCCAGAATGGGTAAGTCAGGGAGGTGAAGAAGACTCGTGTGTGTGTGTGTGTGTGTGTGTGTGTGTGTGTATCGTATATATATACACACACACACACACACACGTCTTCTACACTTCCCTTCTACACACACCCCATTCCACACATATACACACAGCCTTCTCCACCCCCCTTCTACACCCAAACCCACCCAGCCTTCTACACACACACACACCCCTTCTACAATCACACACGCACACAATGGATGTTTTTCATTTTGTTCTAAATTTTCTGTAAATTTTTTGGATGAAAAATTTGGACACACAAGATTTTTAAACAATTCATGTAACGTTAGTGGGGCAAACTCACTTTTGCTCCCTGTTAATGTTTCCCCCCACCCCACAGCAGTGAGGAGAGTAAAGAACAGAGAAGGAGGGATGGCCCCGCCCCCCCAAAAACAAAATAGTTCAAAACCAGAAAATGGCACCGACACGAAGAATTTCCACAAACATTTGCATTTTGGTCGGCAAGGCGTTTGCTGCTGAACTCCGGTCCCTCAGGAACTGCTGACGAGCACCAGTCCTGAGCAGAAAGCAGCAGGCTGGGAGTGCTGGAGCCGCCAGTGGGTTATGCCTGCATGGCAGTTCCTCGGCTGTGCGTATATATCACAATAGCTTTCGCTTGGAGTGGCTCTGTGCAGTCACATGCAAAAAAACAACAACCCATCCCTCCCATGGAGTTGGCATTTCCAGGGCCCAGCCCTTGCTGCTCGTTCCCTTCCAGACCCGGAAAGTGCAATTCCCAGGACCCCAGCAGGCAAATCACTGCCTGCAGAGCTAAGGTGACCCCTCCCACATAACCTTAACTCTGCCCTGGGCAGCCCTGCCCTGGGGGACGTCTCAGTACTGAGGGCCCAAAGGCGGGAGCTGCATGCTGTGGTCACCATCAGGCTGTGGCTTCGTTCCCGTTGGACTTACATAATGGGTCAGTAAAGCCGCCTGAGTGGCTGGCGGCCCTACTATCCCCCGGCACACCACGCTGGCGGACCGAGCGCTCGTGAGTGACGGGATTGGGAACTGGTTCTTGGTGCCAGACCCAAGATCTCCGCTGGGGCAGCCCCCTGGAGCCAGCGATGGAGCACCCTGGGGTGGGGTGCTCGTGGGTCCTGCACTGCCAAGGAGATGGGTTCCACACAGTGCCACGAGGCTACCTACAGCTAACGAGTGGTGGCCTGGGGGCAGGCAGCTAGGATGCCCCGGCCAGGCCAGGGCCCAGTCAGAGGGCGGGTGGCGCTGGTGGTGGTGGGGCATGCGAGCTGTGGCTATCTGGGCAGGTCTGCAGCCCAAGGGCCGGGGTGGCTGGGAGGAAATCAGTCTCTGCCCTGTCTCTGGTGTGTGGGGCTGGACCAGGACGAGTGGGGACAGCTGGCTCTGGTGTGGACCATCTGAGTTAGCTACTGCACCTAGGACTCCTGCCATGGGGGCAGCAGTGGGTGGGGCTCCAACCTCCTGCCAATGGGGGCAGCGGTGGGCGGGGCTCCAACCTCCTGCCAATGGGGAAGGGCTGGTTTGGGCATCCTCTAGCAGCGGGGGGAGTTCCTGGAACAGCAAACACCCCTTCTGGGGCATTTGGGGGAGAGAGAGGGAACTTGCTGTGATCTCCCAGCCTCTCCCTGAGCGATGGTTTATTCCTAGGGGCAGGGGACTCGTGGTGACCCCCCAAAGTTACTTCTCACATCAGTCCCTGGCTTCAGCTACTTCTCACTCTGAGGGTGTCTTCACTGCAGACTTAACCCGGGCTCCTGCAGGCTACTGGGCCGAACAGAACCGAATCCGGTCCACGTGGCGTGGGTGGGGTCCCTCTGTCTGGCGGCGGTGGGCATGGAAGCGGGCGGGATTTACACTCGAGTGTCAAGATGCTTAAGAACATTTGCCAGGTCTGAGAATGTTGGTTCACCAGTGTGAATAGCAGACGTGATACTGACACGCCCTTTCTTGTGAACAGAGGATGCAATCGTTTATTTTGAATGCAGAGTTGGCTTCATCGAGCAGTTTTGTACTCCCGAGACAATAATGCCAAAGCAAAACTCTTTCTGATGAATAATTCAATCCGGTTCTTTCCCCGCAGACAATCCAGTGGCTGATGAGGGAGAGCCAGCCCGTCAGTTTTGGGCACACGAGGATCTAGGCCAGCCCCAAGCAGTCTAGGAACATTTCAAACCAGAGCAGGCTTATTGCGTGTACAGAATGACAGTGCAGTAAACGACAGTGTCTCTCCTGCAGGCTGCAGGCCCCCGGCACCAGGCAGCTCGGTCACAAAACAAGCCACCCGCGGAGTGGAGCTCACCGCGCAGGAGATGTCCGGGGGGAGTTAAGAGAGAGCTTGGCGTCCAAGTTCTAGGAGAGGCTGACGGCAAGGTCCCAACCCTGCTCCAGCCCTGTTATGCTGGTAAAGGGGCTGGAGTGGTGGAAAGGGGCCCTGGAAAGCCCGTATCTGACCAGGGGAGGCGTCCCTGGGCCAGGCTGCGTGGCAGACACGTGCAGCTGCTTTCCGAGGCCCTGTTGCAGGGGCATGCTGGGGTAGTGTGGCCGCATGCAGCACTGTGGCCTGCAGGGCAGCCCCTGGAGGCTGCTGGCATCTAGCCAGGCCCTCGGGGCTGTCTGGGGCAGCCGAGGATTGGGGGGGTCACGAGGGCCTCCTCTCCGAGGTGCAGCCCCGAATCTCTCGGGGTGCTGAGAAGAGTAAAGCAATGGCTGAGGGGGGTGCTCACAGATTCCAGCCACTGCTGAGCATGCCGGGGTTCACCGGGAAGGAGAATGGCCGTCACTGGAGGCGTCTGTAACTGTCCCACCACGCTCGTTAACCCAGGGCTGTCAGCGGCAGCCCCGCACTCTGCTCTGAGTTACCTCTAGCAGACATGGGGCAGGAGAGCCAGCGGCAGACCTGCCCGCCCCCTGGCTGCAGGGAACTGGCTCGCTCAGTGGGGTCGGTCCCTCTCCTCTCCTCTCTGCAGGGTCCCCAGCAGGAGCTTAGCAGAAGTCCCTGACTCCAGGCACTGGGTGAAGGATGGGCTGGCCAGGCCGGTTACCTGCTGCTGCTGTGTTCTGGCCAGGTGGCGAGTTGAACAAGTGCTCTGGGTGGACCCCAGGCTTGGGGGGGAGGCTGCTCCTGGAGTCTTGTTTAGTTTTCAAACATCAAGGGATCTATTCCCTGCAGGAAGGCCCCACTCACAGCCTGCTCAGCCCCAGCTCTGCCCAGCCCAGCGGCTGCTCTGCGACCAGGGTTGGGTTGGTGGATGGTGCCTGGCATCTGCCCTGCCCCAAGCTGTGGAGTTTGTCCACGGGAAGGGCTATTTCTTCCCAGCTCTGCAAGGCCTGGTGGACCACGCAGCAGCCTCACCAGCAGGCGTGTGTGGGGGGCTTTGAAGGGTCTCTGATAGCAGGACCCAGGTGTGGCGAAGAGGGCCTGTTAGTGCGGGCTCTGGCCTGGTCCCCCACCGGGATTTCAGCCGGGGCACAGCCCTGGCCTTCAGGCTGCCAGCGCAGTGGGAGCCCGGTGGGTGTTCTCACCACAGCAGGGATGGAGGAGCTGCTGCCGCCTGTGGTGTCTGTGTCCTGCCCTGCCGAGCTCGTCGGGACTCAGCTGTGCCCCCCCGGCCCCCTTGAGGGACTGGCTCTTCCTGCTCTCTGAGTAGCTGGGGAAGACACAGGCCCTGCCTTCTTTGCGCGGGCACCAGGCCTCACCCTGGGAGTGCCCCATGTCTCTCGATTGTTCTGAGAGCCGCTGGTCCACCTTAGCGTCCTAGCGGTGGGCCTGACTGTGGCCCTTTCCCCAGAGGGCTACAGCAGGGGACCGCATGGAGGCAGGGGGGTGTGAGTTGTGAGCGTGCAATGGAAGCGAGCTCCAATAGGAACCTTGGGCTGCCTGCACGTTGCATTTGAGCAGGGGCCCAATGTGCAGCGTTGCCATGGGGCCTGGCCCCAGGGCGGCTGCGTGTGCTCCAGAGGGGAGGCACGTGGGCCAGGTGACTGCAGAGCAGGGGCGTGCAGAAAGGTCACCGGACAGGGCAGTTCAGGTAGGAGCTGCCGCCGCGTGGGATAGTGGCGGGAGGATGGTTGGACCCAGCGTGGTTCTATCTTATGAGCAACAAAACCAGTGTAGCTCCCCCGGGCGTGACGCTGGTTGCAAAGCGGGCGATGGGGCTGATGTAAGCGCGGCGGGGCAGCGAGCAGAGGGTGCATGAGGGGGACACAGGCAGGCCCTGCTCCAGTAGGGGCAGTTCTGTGGGCACACGGAGCTGGCACGGGCCATCCCATGTGTGGCTTGGTCTGTCTGCTCTGCACCAGGAACAGCCTGAAGAAAAGATGCTTTTTAGATGGCGTTTGCTAACATGAAGTGAAACAGCATCTACTAGCAAGGACCACCTCCCTCCCCTTCCCCCCGGGGGACCTGGGCAGCCAAGCTCACTGCACCCGTGTAGGTGGGGAGAGCAGGCCGAAGCCCAGACCCGGGCATCTCTTGGGCTGACAGTGCCCGAGGCTGAGGCTTCCAGGGCAGACAAGCCGGGGGGCTGCTTGAGGGGGGTGCAAAGGGCTGCTGGGAGGTCTGTCCAATGGGCATTTTGTGCCTGTTTCTCTGACGCTGCCTCTCCCGCAGCAGCCAGAGGGAGGGCTTAGCAATCGGCAGCCGCCCATCCTCCTGCCGCAGGCCTGGGTGTGGCACCGCAGCCAGGGAAAGTCGGCAGGAAGCAGCTGCTCGGCCAGGGCCGAGGGTTAGGGGCGTTCCTCAAGACCGCTGTTGTGCAGCTGTCTGGGATTTCAAACCGTTCCCCAAATCCTCTCCTCGCCCCAGACGTGGCTGCCGATGGCTGGGATGTTCCAGCCTCTGGCGCGTGACCCCCCTCTGCGTCGTTGGGCTGTGACTCCTGAGCTGGGAATGAAACATCCCCTCGGCCTGACAGCTGCCCCTGGGACCTAGCGTGTAGGTGACTCTAGCTGGCCTGGCCTGCTGCTCTCCGCACCTGGGCTTCATGCTCCCACCAGGACAGGTGGCTACTGTCCTTGGGCCCCTGCACCGTGACCCTTCCGGGGTGATCATGCCTTTGAGAAGGGGTAGCAGGCCCTGCCCAGGGGTGTTGGCTCAGAGGGGAAGCTCGCCCCTTCCTGGCTGGCAAGAGAGATTCTCTCCCCAGGGTCTTCCTGCCAGCAAGACCCTGCCCAACTCCAGCCAATCTTTTGCCTCCTTGAAACTGCCCCAGGGAGAGGCTGGCATAGGGCAGGGGGAGAACAGGTGATTCGTGCTCAGGACACCCAGGACGGGGAGTCGCTGCGTCCTGCCCTGCCCGGCAGGACTGAGCTTTGCCCAGGCTCGGCTGGGCCCAGCCCACCCTCCCCAAGGGACTGGCTCCTCCTGCTCTCTGAGCAGCTGCCCCTGCCGTCTCCTGGCCCAGCCTCTGGCTCTCGCTCCAGCTCTTTGAGCCAGGCCCCAGCCTTGCGTCTGGCTTGGCTCAGATGGGTCTGAGACTCCCAGCAGCTGCTGCTCCCCAGGCCTCTGGACTGCCTGGCCCTCCCAGCCCCACGAGCTGAGGGGGTGCCCCCTCCTGAGCCTCCTTCCTTAGGGGTCTCCCCCCAGGCCTGGCCTGAGCTAGACACGCGCCCTCAGGCAGTATTACCTGCCAGGTGGGGGAGCTGTCCACTCCCCCTTGTAAAGGCGCAGCCAGCCTAGGACAGTGCCATGCCCGGCCCAGCAGGGTGTGACACTGGCGTGTCATGCTGGGCTCGGGGACGGAGAGGTGCTGTGGAGAGAGGGGCATCAGCCATTGCTGATCTCTCCCTGCCCCAGCCAACGTCCAGGCTCCTGAAATGATTTCTTCAAGTGTTTGTGCAGCGACAACAAAGCATCCAATTTTTTGTCCAAAAGATGGCACCACTAATGATAGGCAGGACCATGGCTGGAGGGGGCAGTGCCCTGATCCACTATGGCACGTGGGGGGGAGGGGGTGTCCTGGGCTGGGGGTGCAGCGGCCTGATGCAGTATGGCATGTGGGGGGGGGGGGGTTCTGGGGCGGGGGGGGGGGGGGGGGGGGCTCAAGCCACTGTGGCATGAGAGGGCAGCACTTTGCTTTTAAATTAATGTAAGAAAAAGCAAAAGGAAATGAAATGTGCTCTGGCTGTGGCAAGGTGCTGTCCTCGCCCCCCACCCCCTGCCTGGCCCAGCTCCATGGCACATCCCTTGGCCTGGGCTATGGTGCAGGCAGCTCACTGCCGTGCCCAGTCTCCAGTCTGACCCCAGTACCCATCGCAGGGAGACTCCCCCTCACTCCCGGCTGGCTGCTGGAGCTCCTCCACCCCTCGGAGGCCAGGGCAAACGACCCCCGGACGGGGCTGGGTAAGGCCAGCAGCCCCCTCTGCTGCGAGGGTCTCCCTGGCTCTGAGGAGAGAGGGGAGCTGAGCTCCACAGCTCCTGGGCCCCAGGCACAAACAATCCCCCCCCACACACACATTCCTCTCTCCCAGCACCTGCCTCTGCCATGCCTAGCCCACCGCTGCCCCTAAACCCTTAAAGGATCCCTGATGTCCCAGAACAGGGGTTGACTGGCCCCATCCCCACTACTCCTTAAAGGCAACAGACCTCCCATTACCCTGCCCAATGACTGGGCACACCCCTTTGCCCTTCTAAGGGGAACCTCCTTCCTCAGCGCCTGGATTCCCTGCTTGTTGGTCCTGCCTGAATTCGGGCTCCAAAGCCCTCAGAACAGGGCGTTTCTCTCCCCCTGCCCAGTTTCTCCCCTTTTGGGAACCTGAAAATAACCTCTGGTGAACAGCAGGGGCGCTGGCACACATGGCCTGGCACGGTAGTTTCCTCAGAGGTTGGGCACCAACCAGCCTCTCATGAAATGCTACACTGGGAATTTTTTTGATGCAATTTCTTTTACAGGGAGCTCTGGCAAGCAGCAGTGACGTTTGGTCTCTGCTTAATCTAACTAGGGTCAGTTCTTGGGGCAGAGTCATTCTCTGGGAACTGGGGATTGTGCCCAGCCTGCATGCTGTTTGTGACCACCTCTGCTCCAGGCCTGCTGTGTAAAGTGAAAATAATCAAACTGCATTATGACTATACCCAGACTCAGCGTCACCCATATCTGCTCCAACAAGAAGCCGACCCGCAGAGCCCTGGCATCTGTTACCGCTTGGCAGAAGGCAGCAGTATAAAATAGGACATTAATCCTGGTTGTTTCTGCTCCTCTCTCTCTGGCAGCCCAGCGAAGGAAACGGAGACGCCGTTTTGAAATCAAGAGCTTATTTTACTGGACCGACTTGCTTTGCTTCCCAATTGGACCTGATCCATTCAGTGCACATTATGCAGAACTCAGCTGCGAGCTCTGGCTTCAAACTCTAGTCACAATTCATTTCTTGCCAGCAAGAAAACAAAGAGCTAATAAATAGAAAGCGTATTGTTACAGGGGTCTGGAGGGAACCGATTAGATTGTATACGTGTGTGCGCGTGCATGACATACACCCTCCCCCACGCCCCCCTCGGTGAGGCCCCAGAGCAGGGGCCACTTTGCAGACAGAGGAGCTGTCGGCCGTGGCATGGCCCCTCTGGCTCCAGGGTGGGTGAGTACGGGGATGGGAAATGCTCCTGGGGCCATGCATGGCTGGGGCTGGAAGCGCGGCGCGGTGCCCCGGCAGGCGGGGGAGGGGGATATAGCAATCTCTATTTAAATTCCATTAAAATAGACTATTTTAAAAAATTATTTCTAATAGTTATAAAAACACCCCAGGCAGAGCCAGGCGGGCTGAGGCAGCAGCTGGCTGCCTGGGCACTGAGAGCCGCCCGATGTGCCCCCAGGACCAGTCAGGCTCTAGGGGCGCAGCCTGGCTGGCAGAGAAGGAAGAGGGTGCATAGAGGGCTGGCAGGCCTCCCCCAGCGAGGCGGGGCTTCTCCAGCCCTGTACGACCCTGTGTGCCCAGCGCACAGCACGCTGGCATCACTGCTACACACTGGCAGGCGGCTTGGGGTGCCGCCATTTGGATTCCATCAGCACCTCTCTTCCTTTGCTTGCAGAGGCAGCCCCGGGCTGACCCGGCTGGGAGCCCTGGAGACGGCGGTGCGCCGGGGAGGAGGCTGTGCGTGGCATGGGCACAGCTCCCGCTGCTCTCTGTGGCACTCTGCGCTGGCTTTGGCTCTCCCGCAGACCTTGCTGCCCCCGAGGAGTGGTGGTGATGGAGTCCCTGGTGCAGAGGCCGGGGGAATATGGCTGTGTCCTGGGGCTGCTGGGGCCAGTGGAGCAGGTTAGAGCAGCTCTGAGGATCACCCTAACTTGTGCCCCAATCACCGTGGCCCTATCCAGGGTGTTGGACTGCCCTGCCCTAGCCCGGAGCCGCGCCAGCAGCTGGAGATGGCTTTGGGCCAGCTGGAGAGGCATTTCCCAGGGTGCTTTGCAGCCCCTCTGCATCCTTTCAGCCAGCAGGTGCGAAGGGGTCCTGGGGGAAGCTGAAGTCTGGCCCTGGGCTGCTTCTGGTGCATGGCTGCAGTGGAGGGGAGGCTGGGTTCCTCCCCAGAACAGGAGCATTGGCTTCCGCTGTTAACCCTTTGGTAACTGGCCCAGATTCTGCCCCAGCAGAGGCCGGCCCCAGGGAGGAGCAGTGCAGCTGGCCCTCGGTGCGTTCCCTTGGGGATCTGGGTGGCTGTGCTTCCTGGGGTCCCACGTTCTAGTCAGACTCCCGGACTCTGGCTCAGAAGCAGAGGAGCACGGCTGCTGGCCCGTGCAGCTGCAACCACGTTGGTCTTTAGGACAGGACAGGGCTTCTTGGAGACCGTGCAGCCGAGCAGCTTGGCCCCTGTGCGGATCCCAGCCTGCGGCTGCCCTCTGCCAGCTGCTGATGTCGGACCTACCTTTGTGGGGGCTCGGGGGTCAGCACGAAGGCAGGAATTTTGCAGGAGCCCAATGCGCTGCTGCAGGGGGGAGCAGACAGAGCACCGGCAGCCATCCCGGGTGGGCGAGGGGGGCGCTCTCCGTGAGACCGGCCAGCCAGGTGGCTCCCACCCGGCCAGTGCGCTCCCTCGCCGTCCGAGGGCCCACGCGCATGGCCACGGCTCTGTGGGAGCAAGAGACTGAGAATGTTGTTCCTTAGCCCTGCACCTGCCAGCAGCCCCTGGCCTGGGGCCGTGCGCCGTCACTTTCCTGCCCGGGCCCCGGGCCGCAGGGTGCAGGCCCCGTCTAGATGACGTGGCAGCAGTTGAACTGCCCCAGGGACAGCAGGCTCTCCTTGGAGCTGGGCCTGATCTTGAAGGCCAGAGCCTTCTCGCACAGCGGGAACTGCAGGAGCCTGTCCTTCAGGTGGGTGCTCTTGGTTTTAGCAGGGTCTAACTTGATCACGTTGTCGGCCGTGGTTTCGCCGCCGGCGGTGCTGCCGCAGTGAGGGCTCTCAGCTGGGCACGCAGGCCTGGTGGAGGAGCCTGTCTCAGGGGGCCTGTCAAGTTTCCTGGACTTGTCTTCTGGAACTGGCGTCCCACGTGAAGTGGCTTGGAGGCTCCCGGCAGAGCCAGCGACGGGGCCCTCGCAGCTCCCTGGATACAGGGCCTTGCCCACTTGCCCCAGGCTGCCCCCATCCTCCATTTCTGTGGTGGTGGTGTCCTCCTCTGGCCCCGAGCTGCCTTCAGCCTGGCACCTCTCCAGACCCGCTCCCCCACCCTCCCGGAGCTCTGCGTCCCCCTGTGCCGCCGGCGTCCCTGCAGGGAGGAGGCTGGGGGCGCTCTCCCCAACGCTCACGCTGAGGTTGTCTGTGGCCTCCCGCGCTGCACCGTGGCTTGTCGCCTCTCGGGGCTGACCCAGCTCGCTCCTGGGACTCGGCGCCCCCCTGAGAGGCGGCAGCTGCCAGCTGCTCCCCGGGCCCTGCTCCAAGAGGCCTGGCTTGGTGGCTCCAAGGCTCTTCTCCCCCTTGCTGTGGGTCACAGCGCCGCGGCAGAACAACAGGGAGACCTTGGAGCTCTGGAAATCTCGCATTTGCTCTTGGTTTAGCGAAGAGCTTCTCCGTCCCATTGCGCTGGCCTTCCCCTCCTCCTCCTCGTCCTCCTCCTCCTCCTCGCAGATCTGCTGCAGAGCTGGGGTGCTCTTGGCCATGGGGGCGTCCGCCAGGGCGGGACTGAGCAGGGCTCGGACCAGCTGCTCGTTTCCATGGAGGCCGGGGGGCGTGTCGTCTTCCCCCAGGGCAGAAAAGGAAATGGGTCTGCCATCTCTTTTCCCAGAATCCTCTGCGGCAGCCCGGGGCTGGGGGCTGGAGAAAGCTGCCAGTCTATCTGGCATCTCGGCGAAGGGCGAGAGGTCCCGGGTGTCGCCCATGGTGCTGAATGGGTCCGACAGGTTGGCGCTGAAAGAGAGGGGAGCGTGCCCAGGATCAGGCCCAGGGTGGGAGCTGCCAGCTGGGAGTAGCTGCGGCAGGGGCACTGAGTGACCCTGGGCTACCCACAGCATGGATCCAGAGCTGGGGCTGGGGGAGGCTTGGCCTGAAGAGCCCATCGCTGTGGCAGCTGGGTGGCACTGCGAGCATGGTGGTGCAGCAGGCGGGAGCCAGCGGCGGATCGGTACTACAGCTGCCCAGCCAGGCCTCCCAGGCCCTGGCACGATCCCCAGGGCCATGGACAGGAAAACCTGGGTGTCGGGTACCCCCCACCCGGCTCTGTGCCAGGCTGGATGCCATCCCCCCCAGACAGGAGTCAGGGAGAGTTTGGGCCCCAGTGAGGTGACACTTCCCACATCCCTGGGCAGCTCCAGCGAAGGGATGTGGTGCCACGCACAGCACTCTGCTGCCAGCGCCGCGGGCTCCCCCTGCACAGCACGCCTGCGGGGAACCTCGCCGGCGGGCGGGGCCGGCTGTGCTGGTGGCCCCCGGGGCGGTGTCCTGGTGCTGAGCCGTGGCCTGTCCCAGCCGGAGGGCGCCGGCTCACCTGTTCTGCACCTGCTGGGCCAGGTTATAGACCAAGCTGAGCTTGTGGCTTTGCTTCTCCTGCTTCTCCCGGAGGATCCGCTCCGCCAGCAGGAAGTACGTGGCCGTGATGTGGTTGTAGCGATCAGCCTCCAGGGCCCTGGGGGGATGCAAGGCACAGGTGAGAGCCGCACCCCGGAGGAACCCAGCAGGCCCCAGCACAGGGCTCTGGGCGCTACCAAAGAGCGGCGTATGAGAGCGGCATGCTGGCTGCTCATGGCATGGGGCACTCCGGAGCACTGAGCTCCCAGCCCCGGGCATGACCCCACTGCCTCTTGGTCTGCAGAGAACGGCCTGGCCTGCCCTCCCCCTGCACCCACCCTGCTCCCCTGATCTGCAGAGAACCCCTGCCCCCCACCCTGCTCCTCCCATCTGCTGGGAACCCCCTGCTCTGCCCTACCCCCCACCCTGCTCCCCTAGTCTGCAGAAAACAGCCTGCCTGCCTTCTGCCCCCCCCCCGCTCTCCTGGCCTGCCCCCCTGCCCTGAAGGAAATGCCCTTTCACATCCAAAAGAGCAGCTGCCCTGCTTTCCGGGGGGGGCGGGGGATTGCTGGTGCCAGAGGACCTGCCCCTCTCTGTCTCCATCGCTCCGCGCAAGGGCTGGGCTGGAGATCAGTCACTCAGCCAAGCCCTGTGCAGAGCTCCCTGCCCTCTGTCCATGAGGGATGGGGAGGAGATGCCAGGCCCAGGGCACCACACAGACGGGAGATTGGTGCAGTAACCCTGCTGCACGCCTCCCCCCGCCCCCGCCCGCCCGGCCGGCACTCACTCCTGGATGGCGTCCCGGTCCGCTATGTTCCCACACATCATGGCCTGGATGATGATGTCATGTTCCTCCTCGGACACCCGCTTGTGTGACGTCAGGGGCAGCAGGCAGCGGCTGGCTGGGGAGGGGTCCACGCCCTGCAGCCAGGGGTGCGTCTCAATCTGCTCTAGGGAGGCCCGCTGCTTGGGGTCCCGCTGCAGCATCCTGCCGACCAGACTGCCAGAGAGCAGAGGGGAGCAGGGTCACAAGCCAGCCGGGAGACGCTGCCCCAGGCCCGCAGCAGCACCCGCGGCGGAGATGCACAGAGCCACAGGCTGCAAGGCCAGATGGGACCATGAAGTCTGAGCTGGAGAACCCACCCAGCGCTCCCTGGGGCAGCCCGGAGCTCCAGGCCTCTTGTGGAGACTGGGGGTCTTTCTCCAAGAGATGGAGAACACATCACGCCTCTGGGACGATTGTTCCACTGGTTCCCCTTCCTGGTAAAAATCTGCACCCTCCTTCCCTGCTGAACCTGAGCCCTCAGATCTCCCTGGCCCGGAGCTGGGCTGTGCAGGGGTGTTAACAGCCTGCCCCATGCCCCCGGCATGTCCTTGCAGACGGTGGCACCCGTCTGGCTGGGCCCCCGGAGCGCCGGGCAAGCCCGGAGGAGAGGGGGCAGAGGAGGCTGGGGGTGCATACTCAGAACACTGCGAGGACACATGGGGCGGGATGGTGTAGCGGCAGTCCATGATCATGGTCAGCGTCTCGCTGTCGTTGGCCTCCTGGAAGGGCGGCTGGCCGCACACCAGCATATACAGGATGACACCCAGGCTCCAGACGTCTGCAGAGAGAAGGACACAGAGAGCTCAGCCCACTGCGGCATCGGGCCAGGGGTGTCCAGCTGGGATGGGGCACAGGATCCAGCAGGGGGGACGGAGCCAGCCACAGGCACACACGTGTCCAGGTCTACTCCCCTGCAGCCGCGGCCCCATCTCCGCAGTACAAACAGGTGTGAACCAGGCAACCCCTGGGAGGAGGGAAGTAGGGTTACCATATTTTAAGTGTCCAAAAAGAGGACACTCCACGGGGCCCCAGCCCCGCCCCTTCCCCGCCCCCCCAACTCCGCCCCCTCCCCTGAACGCTTTGCCCCCCTGTCCCTCCCCCTCCCCTGCTTCCTGCGAACATTTGATTCGCAGGAAGCCTGAAGCAGGCAGGCAGCAGGTAAGCTGGGGCGAGGGGGCACGAGGAGGAGCGGCCCAGTCCGGCCCCCCCGGCCGAGCGGCTCCCTTTGGCGGCCGGCCGGCCCAGGCCAAGAGGCTCTGGCCCCAGCGTCTCCCGCCCGGCTCGGCTCGGGGACACTGGCCCCCGGCCCAGCACCGCTGGCCCCGGCCCCCAGCCCCGCACCGCCAGCCCTGGCCCCGCACCGCCGGCCCCCGGCCCCGCCGGCCCCAGCGGCTCCGGCCGAGCACTGCCGGCCTCTCCCTCCCTATTTTCCCGGACATGTCTGGCTTTTGGGGATTTCCTCCCGGACGGGGATTTGAGGCCCAAAAAGCCGGACATGTCCGGGAAAATCCGGACGTATGGTAACCCTAAGGGAAGCTTCCCGGAGGCCTGGAGAGGTCTCAGGCCTGACCTGCATAGGTGAGTTGTGTGAGGAGCATGTGATGGGGCCAGTGAGGGGCTCCCTGCCCCGGTCCGTGGCCTGGTTTGAGCCTGCCCATTCGCAGCTCTGTCTCCCTCCAACCAGCATGCTGCTTGCGTCCCACACGGCGCCTGCTGCATTGTAAGATGGAATTTGGGAGCCCTGGGCCACGACTGCGTGACCACGTGTCTCCGTCTCTGGCCTGGCCCTGCTGGCTTCCCAGTCCATCTGGCTCTGCACGGACATTTCAGATAGGGTGACCAGATGTCCTGATTTTATAGAGACAGTCCCGATTTTTGGGTCTTTTTCTTATATAGGCTCCTATTACACCCCACCCCCGTCCCGATTTTTCACACTTGCTGTCTGGTCACCCTAATTTCAGACTACTTTGCAAAGTCACAGCCGGTCCTTTCAGGAAGCTGCATCTTGAGCCAAGACTCGAGACCTGTATCCCCAATTTGCAGGCCCCCAGCTGGCTGAGCCATTTCCAAACTGATCTGAGTCCTCCTAGAAATAGGAAAGCATTTGGAAAATTAGCCCTCCAGCAGAGTTGCTGCTGCAGCCTCCATCCTCACCAGCTCATGCCAGGCTAGGTGGGTGCCCAGGAAATACCAGCAGCAGCCTGGTGCACTGCTCCAGAGACCCCAAAGGGAAGAGCCAGGAAGTCCAGAATGAGTGGGCTTTGCAGCGGCATGGTGGTGTCGCTCACAGGGTAGAGCCGGTGCTGTCACTTTGATGGGGGTAAAAGAGGGAGCTACCCCAAGTGCAACCGACACTGCCTGAGTCTGCAGAGAGCCTGAGCCCATCACTCTGATGGGGGGGGGGAGCCGCCCTGAGTGTAACCGACGCAGTGATGCTGCCTGGGTCTGCAGAGAGCCTGAACCCATCGCTCTGAGAGGGGGGAGATGTCCTGAGTGTAACCGATGCAGTGGCGCTGCCTGGGTCTGCAGAGAGCCTGAGCCCATTGCTCTGAGAGGGGGGAGCTGCCCCGCGCGTAACCGACCCAGTGACGCCTGTATTTTCATTCCCCCTCCCACTCAGATCACACATAAACACTGAACCAGTGCCAGCGTGACACCAGGGAGCACTTCCTGCTGCCTTTCACCAGGAGGAAACTATATCTTCCTGCCCTTTGTTTGCTGCTCCTTGACCAGGTCCTGCTCTGTAACCCAGCTTCGTGGGAAACCCAGGACTGGGATAAAGCGGGATGGAAGGACTGGGGAGGGGGGAAACCCAGGGCAGGGACAGCGGGGGCTGCGGGTGGGGATTGAGGGGCACCAACAGAGCAGTGAGAGGAAAGCCTGCATTGCACCTAACTGCATTGTGCCTGTCTCCAGCCAGCGTGTTTCAGTCCCATGTCCCCCCCTCCATGGAAACTGACTATTACTGAACCCATCCCCAAGTGGGGAGGGCTGCAGGAGGGGAGTCACAGTCCATCTCCAGCTGACGCGATTACCGGTTATTTATAGCATGGGGCTGTCTCTCCCGGGGGGCGGGAGCAGCTTAGCTGTCCAGGCCCTGGGATTTGTGCGTCTGCTCACGCTCAGTGTGTGGAAGGCTTTGCTGAGCAGGGGCGCGTGCAGCGGGAACTGCTGGGGGGAAGCATCCAGGGAGCTGTGGGGCAGAGCAGCATGTGCGTGCCCCACACAGCTGGGAAAAGGGATAAAGGAGCAGGGATTACATCAGTGCCTCTCAGGGCCTTAAGCTGCTCAGGCTCCCTGGGAAAGCGGATTGCGGCCCGGAGAGCGAGGGGGTGGGGGAAGGGCAGCAGCGTCACACACAGACAGGGCCAGGCCCCCAGGGGAGCACGGGCTGGATCCTGGCACCCACTATTGGAGCACTGCTCGGGAGCATCTGTGCCCCCCAGGCGCTGTTTGGTTCTGTGCCAGTCGGGGCTGCGGGGGTGGGGGACTGTGAGGGGGACATTGAGGCGGGAGGCTCCGTGCCAGTCGGGGGTGCCGGAGGGGGGGCTTTGAGGGGGACATTGGGGCTGGAGGCTCCGGGCCAGTCGGGGCTGGGGGGGCGGGGGGGGGGGGGGGGGGGGGCAGGGCCTGGCTGTCCTGGGGGCAATGGCCTGGGTGAAAAGTGGCTCTGTTTGTTCCCCCTATGGACACCAGCCTGGCCCCATATCTGCGCAGGTCACAGAGAGATAGAGACCCCCAGAAGCTGGAGCCGGCTGTGCAGTTCTGTGCCAGGGCTCGTCCCCCATCCATCCCCCCCGGCAGCGGTGCCCTTGCTGGCCCAGCAGCCCCGACTCCTGCCCCCCTCCCCCCACAGGCCAGGGCAGGGGGCTCCCTGTACATCAGCAGAGCTGGGGAAGGGCATGGCCCGGCCAGGCTCCTTGGAACAGGAAAGGCTCTTCCTGCCATAACCCTCCGGGCTCAGCTCAGCACAGACTGTTCGCCCCCGCTTCCTGTGGCCCAGTGACCCCACCCCCGAGCGGCCCCATGGACAGCCCCAGCAGCCGTGCCGGGCTCTGCCCAGGCCCGGCCCACACCTCCGTGCCACACAGAGATGGGGGCAGGGGCACAGGGATGGTGCAGAGACAGGGCTAGAGGGAAACGCTGCCTGCCCCGAAGGGAGGGGGAGTCAAGACCAGGTCTTTTGGCAACACTAGGGATGCCCCCACGACTGCCAGCGCTTCAGCTCAAGGAGGCCGGAAGGCTGGGCCAGGCTCTGCGTTACTGCCAGCAAAGGGGGGCCCTGGCACACCATGCCACAAGGCCCCCCCTCGGGGGTGGTGACAGGGCTGCCTTCCGCCCAGTGGCAGCAGCAGGGTCCCTCTGGACAGGCACCCTAGCAGCTGGGGTGTATTGACATGGGGGGTGGGGCCTGTTGTGTGACTCCTCCTGCTGGGGGTGGGGCCGGCAGGGCCCCCCCGAGGCGTGAGACTGGGCATTACTAGCCAGGGCAGCTTGCCCCTCTAGCAGCTGCTACCTGCTGCGTGCAGCCTCCAGCAACGCAGGGCAGGAACCCGGCCCCAGGAAAGGCAGGAACCAGCCCTCGGCAGGCAGCAAGCTCTCGCCCCAGCCCGGCCAGCGTGAGCCAGCCCCTGCGTCAGGGAAGCAACAGCCCGAGGGGCCAATGCCACCACGGGCGCTGGAGCCTGGAGCAGGAGGGACACGGGGACCATCTCCCCCTGCTCCTTCTGGGTGCCACACGCCTCCCTGGGCCACAAGCGAGGGGGCTTAACCCTCCCAGTGCCAGGACAGCTTCCTCCGCCCCAAGCCAGCCCCGCACTGGGCTCCACATACTCGCTGCTTGGTTGGCTTGGGCTACAAACTGCCCCGCCCTGCCTCACCATGCCCCACCCCCTGCGCATTCCCCACACGCCCCCTCCCGTCCTGTCCCCTCCCTGCATGGCCATGCTCTGCTCCCCCCCCCCCAGCCCCCGCCACGGGGCGGGGCAAGTGCATGGTGAGCTCCAGCCCTGACCCTCTCCCTTGCAGCCCAGCCCAGCTCCACCTAACCTGTCAGGGGGGCCTGTCACCTCAGCCCAGCTCCACCGGCCCCTCCCCACCCCAGCCCAGAACTCTGCCGCGGCTCTTCGGCACGACAGGCCCCACTGGGGGGGCACCCGTCCGGTGTCACACTGCACCGTCCGCTTTTGGGCTGCTTTGTCCCCGGCCGGTAAGGGGCCAAAACCGGACGCGGTGGCAAACAGGGGGGAAGAGGGTGCAAACACCATTTCCAAGAGTGCCCTGCTCCGTCCGCACCAGCGTGATCCACGTGCAAGGTCAGGCCGGCGGGGGCGGGCGGCACCCTCTTGGAAACGCCATCCCCCGTATATGAGGTCACACTGGGGGTGGGGTCACAGTGGGAGGTGGGGGCCACGCAGGCCCCGGAAACGCCCGCATGTCTGGTGTTCCGGGCACAAGGCCGCAGCCAACCTGGCCACTCGCCACCTCTCCAGCCCATCTGCCACTCCCCATCGAAGAGTCCACGGGCTCGCTCCTGGTCTTCATGTGCTCCATGGCTGGGCCCAGCGGATCTAAAGGAGCATGAGGACTGGGGTGGACAGTTCCTGCACCTCAGGCCCAGGGACTCTCCACCACCAGGAGGAAACAGAGCTTCCTCAGGGGCCAGCCCCAAGCCCCAGCTCCCCCAGGGCCATCCCAGACCTCCCGCTCCCAGTGCTGCTCCGCTATCAGCCCAGACACTTACAAACAAACCCCCCACGCACAGCTCTACCCTGGCACACGTAGAGAGAACAAGCCCCAAGTGATGATCGGGGTCAGCCATGTCACTTAATGCAGGACTGGAGAGCGTTCAGATACCACGGGATAAGAGCCTTTGTAGAACTGAACCGAGTGGGCCTAAAGCCACATGCCCCTCTGCCCTCCTCCAGACCTCCCCCATAGTCAACAGCACCTCGCCAGGCTGCACCCCACGGCACTTGGGTTCCCTGCATGGCTTTGTGCCAGGGCAGCATGGGCGAAACACATGGGCGCTCCCCCTCCACGCACATATCTGCGGTCATCTCCATATTCTGCCAGCAGCGACTTTATGTTTTCTTCCAGACGGCTGATAAAGGTATAGAGCAGCACCGGCCCAAGATCAGATCCCTGGGAGACCCAGTCACAATTATGTTTTCAGATCTATCAGTTAGCCAGTTTTTAGTCTATTTACCATGGGCTACACTTATTTTGAAGAGTGCTAATTTTTTAATCATGTGGAACTAAGTCAAATGCTTTACAGAAGCCCAATTCAGTTGTATACAGTTACTGTATCAACCAAACTTGTGATCTCATCAAGAAACAAAAATGTCAACTTCGTTTGGCAAGACCTAGCCTCCATAAAACCATGTTGACTGGCATTAGTTATGCTGCCATTCTTTACAAACTGCATCCCATATCAGCCTCCTCATGATTTAGTCTGGGATCCGTGTCAGGCTAACTGAACTGTAGTTTACCAGATCACCATATTTACCCTTTTTAAACATCAGCACAACAATAGCTTTTCTCCAGTCCTCTGGAACTTCCCCAGCATTCCAAGTTTTGGTAAAAGTGAACATCAGTGTCCCAGACAGCTTCTCAGCTAATGCTTTTTATATTTTTAGGTGCAAGTTATCTGGTCTTGCAGGTTTAAAAGGTTTTACTTTAGCAGCTGCTGTGAAACATCCTCCTTAGTTACTACTATAATAAAAAAAAGAATTTCATTACCCCTGTGAGCCATGAATACATCACCCAGCTTCTTCCCAAATACAGAACACAAATATTTTCTGAACACTCCTGCTTTTTCTGCATCATTATTGACAACTGTACCATCCCAACCTACTATCAGTCCGAGACCACTACCAGGAATTCTGTTGTTCCTGATATAGTAAACATTTCCTTTTTATTGTCCTTAACCTACTGGCCATAGATTTTTCATTGATACTTTTAGCTTCCCTTATCAATTGTCTGCATTTCATAACTGCTAATTTATAGTACTTGCATCAACTTTCCCCATATTTTATATATATATTTTATTATTGCTGCTTTCACCTTCCCTTTTAATCTGTTTTTTTGTTTTTGTTTTTAATCTGAAGCAGCCTTCTTTCATGATTTTGGGATTGTGGTTTTTTTTAGGCATCTAGTAAATTATTTAACAGCTCCCAATTACTGTTCACGTTCTGTTCCAATTTTTCTTCTCACTCAGTTTTGCTCATGATTATTTTCAGTTTGTGGAAACTGGCCATTTCAAGCACTAAGTACATACATTCCTGGAGAGGACTATTTTCTGCTTGAACATAATAGATTAAATTAGATCGTGATCATTTGCACCTAGGCAACTGCTAATTTTTAATTCAGTGATCAATTCTTTACCTGTCAGAATGAAGTTAGATACAGAACCATCCCAAGTTCGTTGCAATACCTTTTGAGTCTGAAAATTATCAGCTATAGTTTTTAGAAACTCCCAGGATTCCCAATTATCATTCATATTTGCATATTCAAATATCTCCTCCTACTCTGTTTTGCTCATGATTGTTTTCAGTTTTGGGAAGTTGGCCCTTTTAAAGAACCAAGTGTGTATATATATATTTATTTTCCTGGATGGGACTACATTCAGTCTGCACCTAGCCAATAACATTAAGTCATGATCGCTTACACCTAGGCAACCATCAAATTTAATTCTATGCTTAATTCTTCTGTATGAGGAATGACCCCCAAGTTGGTTGTAAGAATTCTTGAGTTACAAAGTCATCTATAATTTTTAGAACCTTTCAAGCCTATCTTACTAGTGGCAGCATGAAAGCTCCAGCATGTCTCCCCCTCCACAGACAATGAAATCCCCCGATAACACTGTCTTTCTTTCTACACATTAGGGATGGATGTTTAAGCAGCTGCTCATCCTGCTCCCTTGTCCGACTGGTCTCTATAACAGACGCCACCCAGTATGCTGTCTTGTGACACGTCATTAATACACTGACCCAGTTAATACTCCTGCCCCTCTGAACTGAGCTGTCCGTCACTAGTGCAGGGGGCAGGATCTGTGATGTCCAGGCCACGCCCCTTCTGCTCACTCTGTCCTTCCTGACCAGGGTGTATCCAGTGACATCAACATCCCTGTCGTGTGACTCCTCCCACAGGGAGGAGTGACACCAATCATAGCCAATCTCTAATTCCTCCCTTGTTGCCCATGCTATATTAGCCTCTGCATGCCTCAGGCCCCCCCCATTTCCCCTGCCCCCTCCTCGCAGGGACATTGGGAGGGGATGTCCATAAACGTGCACGAGATGCTCAGGTCTCAGATTGACCGGAGCCTTATACACACATTGGTAATGAGAATGCAGGACCTATCCCCAGCCTCCCATCACCAACCCTCACAGACGTGCCCGCTCAGCACTCTGGGCTGTGCCAGCCTCACCCAAACAACCCGGCGGGAGCCAGAAGCGGGCGGCCCTGGTCACTTACCTACGGCTGGGGCGTCGTACTCATCCCCCAGCAGGATCTCGGGTGCTGAGTAGGCCAGCGAGCCGCAGCTCGTGGTGAGCATCTTGCCGGGCTGGAAGCGGTTGCTGAAGCCGAAGTCGGTGAGCTTGACCACGCCCTGCTCCCGGAAGAAGACCACGTTCTCGGGCTTGAGGTCGCGGTGCACCACGTGCAGCTTGTGGCAGTAGGAGATGGCGTGGACGATCTGGGCGAAGTAGTGCTTGGCGCGCCCCTCGGCCAGCCCGCCGTCATGCCGCATGATGTGGTCGAACATGTCGCCGCCGTCCCCCAGCTCCAGGATGAGGTAGAGCTTGGAGTGGGTGTCGATGACCTCGTAGAGCCGCACAACGTTGGGATGCTGCACCAGCTTCATGCAGCGCACCTCCTGCAGCAGCTGCCCCGCAGCGCTCACGTCCAGCTTGCTCTTGTCGATCACCTTCACCGCCACCTTCTCCCCCGTGAAGACGTGCCGCGCCAGCTTGACCACGGCGAAGTGGCCCTTGCCCAGCGTGCGCTCCAGGTCATACAGGCCGGCTATCTTCCCTTCGTAGCAGCCCTTGGCCCCCGCCATGGCTGCACCGGAGCGTCACAGGGGGCCGGGCATCAGGGAGGCTGGGCACAATAGAGAAGCCACTGAGCACAGGGGACACCAGGCACACTCCCTGCCCAGACACCCCACTGAGCACAGGGGGAACCCTGACCTTTCCAGCCCCACACCCATCCATGTGCGCAGCCCCACACCCCAGAGTGCCCTGAGCAAAAGGACGCCACCCCCTTGGCCTACACTTGCCCAGACGGAGCCCAGCTCTCCTTCACACACGCCACGTGTCGCTGACTCTCACAGTGCAAGGAGCTGTCCGGGGCCATAAGAACGGTCGTACTGGGTCAGACCAAGCGTCCATCCAGCCCAGTGTCCTGTCTACCAACAGTGGCCAATGCCAGGTGCCCAGAGGGAATGAATAGAACAGGGAATCATCAAGTGACCCATCCCCTGTCACCCAGTCTCAGCATCTGGCAGTCAGAGGTTGAGGGACTCCCAGAGCACGGGGTTGTGTCCCAGACCATCTTGGCTAATAGCCATTGCTGGACCTGTCCTCCATGACCTGATCTAGTTCTTTTTTGAACCCAGTTATACTTCTGGCTTTCACAACATCCCCCTGGCAAGGAGTTCCACAGGTTGACTGTGCGTTGTGTGCTCATGCCCATGGCCTGTGCAGGATGGCATGTGGCCAGGTGCCCCCATGCTGCAGGCATTGGGCTGCTGCCCAGCTCGGACCAGGCCTGAGTTCTTGCTCTGGGTTCCTATGGGGTCACACCTTGACCCCCAGAGCCGGGGCCTCCTCTTCCCTCTGGGCTGAGCCTATAACTGCCCCGAGCTTCCCAGCCAGTAGTCTGTACACGTAGCCACGCTGGGGTGGGGTCTCCAGCAGCCGCACAGCACGTCGGCCCAGAGACTTCCCCAGCCAAGCCGGGGGGCAGCCCTAGCCCCCCCATGGGGGTGTTACTGATTTATGGGAGCCACAGTGCTGGCCAGGTGCCACTGGGGGAGGGGTGTGTGTGCACAAGAAGCTCCCCCCCTTTGCAGGTTACAATGGAGTGGGGTGTTTAAAGGAGCTCCCCTACCCAGGCACCCAGGCACGTTCTTGCTCCAGCTGCAGCCCACGAGGCCAGCAGGCTGTCCCGGGGGGCAGGGGGCCCAGTCTGCGTGGTTCCGACTCCTGGTCACACCAGTGAGGGTTGGGGGCTTTCAATATTTTCCCAAAACAAACCGCTGGCGCGAGCGACCTTTGGCAGCAGAGGGGCAGGGGGTGGCAGCTCTGCCGCTGCCCCTCACTGCCGACCTGCAGCTACCCTGGCACTGGGCCCCCCGCCCCCAGCTCTGCCCACAATCCTAGCGCTTTGGATCCCCCTAATTCCACCCCAACTATTCTTAGTCCTAGTCCCCCACTCCCCCGTCAATGCCCCTCAATCCCGACCTGCAGCCCCCCCATTACTCCAGCCATGCCCTCCTCATGTACGCTCACAGCTCTGCTGACACCCCTCAGCCCTGCCAGGCCCCTCGGTGTGCAGGGCAGCCAGGTGTCTTCAGACTGAGGGCTAAAGGCAGTGAGCACCTCGGTACCAGACAGGTCACGCCAGGCTGCCAACAGCAAGGGCTGGTATCATAGATTATCAGGGTTGGAAGGGACCTCAGGAGGTCATCTAGTCCCACCCCCTGCTCAAAGCAGGACCAATCCCCAACTAAATCATCCCAGCCAGGGCTTTCATACTAAGCGGGGGGTGTTCACAGGGCCAGGGCCTACGCTTGGAAGCCAGTGGTTAGCAGGTGGGGGATGTGGCCAGTTGATTGGTACCCTGAGCCATCCACACCACAGTTGTTGTCAATGACCATCACCTGGGCACAGCCTGGGTCACTTGGGGTTCTGGGGTCACTGGGAGATGAAAGGGAGTGAACCCAGCACAGGGTAACCCCGCAGACAGAGGGGAGGGGGCTGTGGAAATCCCTTGCTGCCTTGGGGCTCTGACCCACCCCGGCATCACAGCTGCATGTCAGGGAACTGGGGTTCCCCAGGATGGGAGGGGCATCGCCTGGGGGCCGTGCCCTGGGAACAAGGCATGGGGTAGGGCCTGCTGCCCTGAGACACTAGTGCAGAACAAGCACAGCTCCTTGGGCTGGCAGCGTGCCCATGTTTGGCTGGCGGGCTCCCTGTGCGCATTGTGTTGGTACACACGGCACACGCTGCTGGGAGGGGGACTTCCTGGCATCCGCCAGCCGATTTCCGTCTCCAGCACTGGCTGCAGTGCCGCTCCCCCATGGCAGGAATCAGGCCGGGTTCTCCTGCGGGGGAGGGCAAGGGCACAGCACCCTCTGGGACGGGCTGACCGACGGGCTGGGCCCTGGGCCCCCCCCAGCCATGGGTCAGCAGCCCAATGCATCACACAAGCGTAGCCAGGCTGGGTCAGGACTTGGGCGAGGGCCTTGCTAGGAAAACCTGGGTCCTGGGGGTGGGGGGGCTGCGCCTCTCTCTGAGCAAGTGCCCAGCCAGCCCCGCAGCAGGACAGGGCTCCCGGACACTGCTACACACCCCGAGCACGGCCCCAAGAGCCGGGCTCCCAGCCTCGCCTTCCCCACCAAGCTTCCCCAGAGAGCCGGCTCCATTCCTGCGCTTCCTGCTCTGCGGGCCGGGCAGCCTGGCAGGGAGCCCCGGCCGCGGCATGCCCCCCGGCTGCAGGGAGCCCCGGCCGCGGCATGCCCCCCC